TTCTATTTTTTTATATCCCATTTTATGGTTTTTTTAAAGGTCCTTTATAAACAGAATTTGGTACTTTCCCAAAATTTTTTTTATTTCAGAATTTCATATGTTCTTGAGGAGATACAGTCATATAACACTTGAGGAAACAATTAAAATTATCACAGTAGGTCCATTAAGAACATTAAAATAGAATCCTGTTGAAATTTAATCCTAACTTTAGGATGTTTTTAGTGTAATTACAACTATGTTACAATTTATTTTTGCTACATCAGACAATGCTTGCCCATAACAAATGTTAAAGAAAATGTATTCTTATTTATTTTTAATATATAGCAATACTGTTGTTCAGTAATGATTATCAACTATCTTCTTTTGACTTGTTTAAAATATTGCTTTGAAAAAATATAAAGAATGAGTTATCGAATATACAAAAGATTGTTATTAAATTGTTGTTGTTAAGTGCCATTGAGTCTTATATGACTCATAGCAACCCTATGAACAAGAGACCTGAACACTTGTATAACTTTCATCATTTCTCCAAGTTCGTAGTTTCCAGTGGCAAACTATTTCAGAAGTAGATGCCACTCCTGCTTCCAAACTTGTATTAGATTAAGTGGTGACAATAAAAACACCCTTATTTTTTAGTTTACCCAGTTTTGACTCATTGTTAGTAGTACATTTTTTTAACATGGTAGTTTATTTATTAACCCAAATCTCCACCCAACACTCAGAACAGTACCCCTTCCCTCTTCAGAGAGCTGAAAAGTACAATCCACTGCTGATCACCATGCTTGTTCCACAAGACTAGTAGGGTCTCTAAATCCAGAGAAGATTAAAGTTTATCTTGACTGATGGAAAAAACCTCCTTTTAGAAATTCATTCTTGGATGAGAATGGTAGAAGGTTAGTCCTTATCCTGATCCTATGTCATTTCTCTAGAAAGAAAATAGAAGCAGACAGGGAAACTCCAGAGCAAGGAGAAGATGAAAGATGCATTTGCATTTTTCTCCCAAATTCAGAACTTTGTTGTTGTTGTTATGTTCCATTGACTTGTCCATGACTCATCGCAATCCTGTATACAACAATAGCTCTGAACCCTGCCCTATACTGAGCCAGCCTCACTGACTTCGGTTACCATTACCCAATCAATCTATCTCATCCAGGGTCTTCCTCTCCTGTGAAGTCACTTCACTCTTCAAGCTGAAATTGTTAACAACTTCTATCTCTTTCCCATCCATCATGGTGCTGCCAGTTGGTACAGTGGTTAAAATCTTTGTCTTCTTGATGTTGAGTTTCAATCCATATTGAAGACTACAGTCTTTGATCTTCTACAGCAAACATTTCAGGTACTCCTCAGTTTAGCAAGCAAGGCTGTATCAGCTAAATATTGCAGGCTGTTGATGAGTCTTCCACCAATCTTGATGCCACTTTCCTCCTCATAAAGTACAGCCTCCTGAATGATCTGTTACCATACAAATTGAAAAAGTATGGAGACAGGATGCATCCTTGACACATTCCCTTCCTAACTTTGAACCATGCAGTGTTTCCTTTCTCTGTTCTGATGACTGCCTCCTGGTCCAAGTATAGTTTTCAACATGAGAACAATCAAGTGTTCTGGGATTCCCATTCTTTTCAAGGTAAGCCACAATTTGTTGTAATCAGCAGTTGTTGTTGTTGTTATGTGCTATCGAGTCGCTTGCGACTCATAGCAACCCTATGTACAACAGCCCTAAACTCTGCTCTGTCCTGTGCCAATCGCACCGTCTCCAATACCCCATCCCGATTACCCCAGTCACTGAATCAATCCACCTCATAGAGGGTCTTCCCCTCCTGTGCTGTCCCCCCACCTTCCCAAGCATGATGTCCTTCTCCAAGGTCCAGTCTTTCCTTACAACATGTCCAAAGTATGTTAGACGGAGCCTTAGAATCCTTGCCTCCAAGCGGCCACCTGGTTTGACCCTTTCCAGGATGAATCTGTGTTTTTTTCCTAACAGTCCATGGTACCCTCAATACTCTTCTCCAACACTCCAACAATACTCTTCTCAAGGGCATCATTCTCCTACTATCCTCCTTAATCATTGGACAACTCTCTGATGCATAACAAGTGATAGCAAAGACCAAGGCCTGTATCAAATGCACCTTAGTCTCCAGAGAGACACCATTGCTCTTCAGTACTTCAGAGAGGTCCCTAACAGCAGACTTTCTCATGGCAATACATCTTTTAATTTCCCGGCTACTGGTGCCGAGAGTGTTGACTGTGGAGCCAAGCAAACTAAAGCTGTGAACAATCTCAATCTCTTCACCATCCATCCTGATGCTGCCAATTGGCACAGTGTTGAGAATCTTTGCAGTACATTTTTTAAAAAGAGATTTCCGAACTTCTTAAATTTTCTTTTCTTGTTAGCATTTTTTCTTCTCTTCTCATTAAAAAACAACAAAACAAAACAAAAAACCAACGGATAGGAAGAAGGTGGCTTCTAAAACTGGAAAGATTTATCAAAACCATGCAGCTCTCATATTTAAATCTTAACCCAGGGAGTGTTAAAGAATGCACTCAGTAAAGGAAGATGCTTGAGAAAAATGCCTTTATTCATCCCCACACCTTACTTAGTCTCACAGGTTTCCTAAAGGAAGAGTGGGGGGGGGAAGCCACAGTAGCTAGCTAACTGAAAGTTTTTTCCTTAAGCTAGCTGTTAGCCATTGATCCTTTGGGTGGAACCAGAACGACCAGTATGTGCTTCTTCCTTCCACTAAGAACCAACAACCTTTTTCTTTTCTTTTTTTTTTTTTTAATTTAGGTT